TAGATCTTAGAATCAATGAATAAGATATAGTTTAGGCTCGGCGCCTGTGGCTCAAGTGGCTAAGGCGCCAGCCACATACACCTAAGTGGCAGGTTCAAATCCAGTCCAGGCCCGCCAAACAACAATGATGGCTGCAACTAAAAAATAGCCAGGTGTCATGGTGGGCGCCTGTAGTCCCAGCTACTTGGAAGGCGGAGACAGGAGACTCGCTTGAGCCAAGGAGTTGGAGGTTGCTGTGAGCTGTGATACCATGGCACTCTACTGAGGGCAACAAACTAAGACTCTGTCTCTAAAAAAATAAAATAAAATAAAAATAAAAAGGAAGAACAGTGTTCTTTATATACTAACATGGAAAAATCTTTAAGAGGGATTTATAAACACTGTATATATAAAAATAACAGTCCCAGTGATATGAATATCAACCAAGTAATAAAGACTTCTACAGAGATTGCTCCGGGGTTTTAGTATTTTTGAATTTTGTGAGAAGAAAAAAATTGCCAATTCAGAATGTGAACGTTTTAAAATAATAACTAAGAAAATGAAAAAAAAAAACCCTGCCAATTTAAAGGATTGAGGCCTCTAAGCTTAAAATAATCATTCTACTCAAGAGCTGGGCCCTTTAAAATTTTTTTTAAAAGGCTGGCCACTACTGTGGCTCATGCCTATAATCCTAACACTCTGGGAGGCTGAGATGGGTAGATTGCTTGAGCTCAGGAGTTGGAGAGCAACTTTAGGAAGAGGGGAACTTTATCTCTACTAAAAATAGAAAAGCTAGTCAGGCACTATAGTAGGTGCCTGTAGTCCCAGCTAATCAGGAGGCTGAGGCAGGAGGATCATTTGAGTACAGGAGTCTGAGGTTGCTATGAGCTATGATGGCACAACACTCTAGCCTAGGCAACAGAGTGAGACTCTGTCTCAAAAAAATAATAAAATAAAACAAAAATTAAAAATAAGACTTAAAAAGATTTTTAAAGATTTTCTCTTTTTCTTATTCACTATAGATCTACTCCATGAGAACTAATATCCTGGGAGTCACACTGAGGAAGCAGCCATTCATACCCGATCAATGTGTGTGACATTCCGGATTCCAAAGGCTATAGTGTAAATATCAAACTTGTCATCATCAAAGGGCAATTCTTCAGCATCTCCCAATACCCACGTGAGTCCTGAAAGAGAAAAGTAGTTCTAGGTCTCAGTCTGGGTAGTTGTACTTCCTGTACCTGGTGAATTTGTTTTGTGTAGAGCAGTGTGGTTAAGAGGCCATATTCTGGGATTAGGCTGCCTGGATTATAATACCAGCTTCACCATTTAACTATGTATTTATTAGCTATATATTCTTTTCTTTTTAAACACATATGGTCTCACGCTGCCACCTAGACTGGAATGCAGTGGTGAGATCACAGCTCATTGCAACCTTTAACTCCAGGGCTCAAGCTTCTGGCCTCAGCTTCCCAAGTAGCCACTACTATAGGCATGTGCCATCACACCTAGCTAATAGCTGTTTTTTTTGTTTTTTTTTTTTTGAGACAGTGTTTCACTTTGTCACCCTTGGTGGAGAGCCATGGTGTCATAACTCACAGCAACCTCAAACTCTGGGGCTCAAGTGATTCTCTTGCCTCAGCCTCCTGAGCAGCTGGGACTATAGGTGCCTGCCACAATACCCGGCTATTTTTAGAGATGGGGGTCTTACTCTTGCTCAGGCTGGTCTCGAACCCATGAACTCAGGCAATCCACCCTCCTCAGCTTACTAGGATTACAGGCGTGAGCCACCACACCCAGCCCTATATATATTCTTGAATAAACTATTTTGTTTGAGCTTTTCATCTGTAAAATGAAATTAATAAGAATACCTACTTCATAGAATTATTATAAGTATTAAATGAGTTACTTTAAGTATAGAATTTAGTATCGTGGCTCAGCGCCTGTGGCTCAAGTGGCTAAGGCGCCAGCCACATATACCTCAGGTGGCGGGTTCGAATCCCCAGCCTGGGCCCGCCAAACAACAGTGATGGCTGCAACCAAAAAATGGCCAGGCATTGTGGCGGGCGCCTGTAGTCCCAGCTACTTGGGAGGCTGAGGCAGGAGACTCGCTTGAGCCCAGGAGTTGGAGGTTGCTGTGAGTGTGATGCCATGGCACTCTACCCAGGGGGATAGCTTGAGGCTCCGTCTCAAAAAAAAAAAAAAAAAAAAGAATTTAGTATCGTTACATTGGTTTTATTAGAATCATAGAGAATCAGTGTCCAGACCCAAGCTAGTCATAAATTTGAAAAACACCTGAGGGCCTCCCTATCAGAATGACTATGTCCTCTAAGGAGCCAGACTGGGCTTTAACATTATTCAACCTACAAGAAATTTGACATAAAAGAAGGCCCTTTAGAGAAAGGTAAATGAAAAGAACCTTTCTGAAAAACAAACTAGCAGTATCCAGCAAGAATCTTAAAAATACTCTTTGACCAGCCAGGCATAGTGGCTCAAGCCTGGGAAGCCAAGATGGATGGATTGCTTGAGCCCACAGAAAAAATTCAAGACCAGCCTGAGCCAGAGTGAGGCCTCATCTCTAAACAGCTGGGCGTTGTGGCAGGCGCCTATAGTCTCAGATACTCAGGAGGCTGAAGCAAGAGGATGGCCTTAGCCTAGGAGTTTGAGGTTGCTTTGAGTTGTGACACCAAGACACTCTACCCAGGGCAACGAAGTGAGAATCTGTCTCAAAAAACAAACAAAAAAACCCAAACCCTTTGACCCAGCAATTTGATTTTTAGGAAAAGGGCACTAACAACATCACCATATCACCATAGTTACTACTTATTAGCTCCTTAATAAGTGGCAGTCTGTGTTATCATTTTATGTACACCTTTAGACATGTTATCTTACCCTATCCTCATATCAACTCTATGTTAGCTATTACTACGATCATTCTCATTCTGGTCAGCAAAGTGAGCAGCAGAAAGTTTAAAGTCTGAGCTGGGCATGGTGGCTCACACTTGTATTCCCAGTTACTTGGTGGGCTGAGGCCGGAGGATACTTGAGCCCAGAAGTTTGAGACCAGCCTGAGCAACAGAAGAAAATCCTGTTTTAAAAAACCAAGCAAACAAATAAGTAAAGTGGTGGGTATTTCTTATTTTGTTATTGTTGTCTTTTTTTTTTTTTAGGAGATAAGGTTTTGTTTTACTGACTAGACTGGTCTCAAACTCTGGCCTGAATTAATCATCTTGCCTTGGTCTCCCAAAATGCTGAGATTACAGGTGAGAGCCACCATACCTGGCCAATAAAAGTTTTAAAAAATAAGGCTGGGTGCGATGGTTCATGTCTGTAATCCTAGCACTGTCGAAGGCCAAGGTGGGTAGATCACTTGCACTCAGGAGTTCAAGACCAGCCTGAGCAAAAGTGAGACCCCTGTCTCTAAAAAATAGCTGGGCATTATGGTGAGCACCTATACTCTCAGCTACCAGGGAGGCTGAGGCAAGAGAACTGCTTTGAGCCCAAGAGTTTGAGGCTGCTGTGAGCTATGATGCCACAGTACCCTACTGAGGGTAACAAAGTAAGATAATCTGCTTCAAAAACAAAAAAAGGTTAAAAAAATTAAAAAATAGTTAAGTTGTTTGCCCAAGGTCACACAGATGGACTAGAAATTAGGTAGTTTTATCCCAGAGCCTGTGGGGTTTTTTTTGCAGTTTTTGGCCAGGGGTGGGTTTGAACCCACCACCTCCGCATATGGGGCTGGCACCCTACTCCTTTGAGCCACAGGTACCACCCAAGCCTGTGTTTTTTAACAGCTCTGGTATATTACTTCCTACTATAAAGTGGTTATTATCTTTTCCATTTCCGAGATAAAATAGTTGAGATCAAGAGATTTTAAACATCTGTCCAAGGTTATAAACTCAGTAAAATAATTCACAGATGTCCACCCCAAGAAATCTCCCTTTGTATATTACATGAAAGAGAATGAGAAATAAATATTTGCTTTTTTTTTCTTTTGAGACAGTCTCAAGCTGTTGCCCTGGGTAGGATGCAACTCTTGGGCTCAAGCAATCCTCTTGCCTCGTCTATTTTTAGTAGAGACAGGGTCTCACTTCTTGCTCAGACTGGTCTCAAACTCGTGAGCTCAAGCTATCCACCCACCTTGGACTCCCAGAGTGTTAGGAATACAGGTATGAGCTGTACTGTGCCCAGCCAATATCTGCCGTCTTGAAAAAAGTTAATAAATGCATGCAAAAATTACAAATAAGTGAGTCACAAAATTGTGCCATGTGCAAAACATTAAGAAAAAAAGAAGGGTGGTGCCTGTGGCTCAAGGAGTAAGGTGCCGGCCCCTATACTGGGGGTGGCGGGTTCAAACCTGGCCCTGGCCAAAAACTACAAAAAGAAAGAAAAAGGAAATATCAATTGGATATAGCCTATGTGAATTAAAGCAATTATTGCAACAGTGAATTAAAGCAGGATACTAGATTGTATATACAGTATGTTCTAAGCTTTATAAAGAGAAAATGACTAGGAAAGAAATGCAAAGGAACAATTAAAATATTGAGAGGAATCTCTGGATATTAGAATCATGGATAATCATGGGTATACTTTCTTCTTAATGCTTTGACAAAATTTTGGATTTCTAAAATCTAAAACTTCTCTTAAATATATCACTTTTATAATCCCTCAATATACAGTTTAAAATTCCTGTTCTTAGAGCTTCCATTTGGGGAGGACATGCTAAATATAAAATATAAGTAAAATATATAACCTTGCACATAAAAAATGTCTTTACATATTAACTTTTATATTAATTTATAGTCCTCCTACTCAGTTTCAACTTTTTTTCATGATGCTCTTTGCAAAGGCATTATTACTGGAGATTGATAAGGCAAGGAGGAAAGACAATGAAAACTCTACTATGCAGCACTTAATAATTCCAATGCAGATGCGTTTATTTTGGTGGTTAGGAGGGCTTGACGAACAAGACATGCTACGGAAGATGTGAGTCCAAAAATAGAATGTTACCTATCATTTTAATATCTTTGTTTTCCATTCTTTATAGTTGAGCGGTAGCGAGAAGGAAAGCAGTAGGAGTAAGGAAACATAATGCCTTTGTCTAAAAACACTAGTGACTGCCTTCTGATTGGTGTTGATGGTTAACAAAAGATCCCTTTATTTTGGGGGCCAAGTGGGCTGCAGTGCATCTAGACAGCTCCTTCTGGGGGTGGGAGGAAGAGGAGGAAGAATTGAGCTAAAATAATCATAGACACTCATGGTGGAGGAGGAGGTGGAGAGAAATGCTGATGTTGATATGAAGAACTTTCTTTTCTTTGGTGTATGCCACTGCCTCTCAGAGGCAGCCTGCAATGCCTGGTTAACTTGGAAGAGGGCAGTGCAGTGGCTCTGAAAAGCTGGGTCAGTGGGGTGCAGGATCATTGATTTTACTTGAAAAAATTGGGGAGAGACAAGTATTTTAAAATATTTTTTTAAATTTTTTTTTCTTGTTGCTGTTGCAGTTGTCATTGCTGTTTTTTAGCTGGCTGGGGCTGGGTTCAAACCCACCACCCTCGGTATATGGGGCCGGCACCCCACCCACTGAGCTACAGGTGCCACCCGTATTTTAAAATATTAAAAGCAGAAAACCGAATGTAAAATTTACCTTGTTTTTCTTTGTAGAGACAGGGTCTTGCTATGTTTCTCAGGCTGTTCTCAAACTCATGGCCTCAAGCAATACTCCTTGATCTATCAAACTGCTGGGATTAGAGATTTGAGCCACGGTGCTCAGCCCATAAAATTTACATTTTTTTTTTTT